CTCCTCTTCGGACTCCCCTGACAAGGCAGGGGACTTCAAAAGGCAGGGCCCGCTCCCTAGGAGGGCGCTGCGTCAAGGCGCGCTGCACGCGCGTCATGAACCCAGCCATGACAGAAGAAAAAACTTCCTGGGACAATGCGGTACCCGCGGTACCACCCACCCCCCCTGAAGCACCAGAGGGGCGCACGGGCGAGAGGCAAAGCAGCGCAGGCGTAGTTTTGGTTTTTTTCTTTACCAGTTTGATATGTTAGGGCTAGTTCACAGCAGCCAGCAGTGCGTTCTGGACCGATTGGGGCTGGAACGCATTGCGGCCGGCTTACTTTGTGTTGGGGTGGGGTCGGAGGGGGCGTGGTGGTGCATTGAACTCAATGGCACCGCAGTGCGATCGGCCGCACGGGAACGCATGGCACATCAATGCCTGCATTCCGGTCCGGTCAGAAAAAAAATAGTGCTTGCAGCATTTTCTCTGACCAGGCCTCAACGCAGGCATTGATGTGCCATGAACTCCCGTGCGGCCTATCGGACTGTGGTCAGAGGGCGTGGCTGCGGTGCCATTGAGTTCAATGCACCACCACACCCCCTCTCGCCCCAACACAAAGTGAGCCAATCGGTCCGGAACGCACTGTGGCTGGTGTGAACTAGCCCTTATAGTTTAAAGTGAACCAGTGGCCAGACTTTGACCTCTGTACCCGGGAGTGGGAGCAGGATTAGCTGAACTGCTAATAGAATAACTAGAGCAATATCAGAGCAAATGATTCGCTGCACAGTGCCTGCAGCTACAGAGGTCAACATGGGCATAGTTTTAAATCTTACTTACTGCTTGATAAAGCAGATGTAACCCCTATAATCCAAATCTCATATGTGCTTTAATATGTTAAATGTCATATGTTAACCCCTTCGTGACTGGCGACGTACAGTGTACGTCGCCAGCATCGGGGCTGTTTAAACAGACTCCCGGTGACTTTTGCCGCCGGGATTCTGTTTAAACTTGTAGAGCCGACTGTCGGCTTTACAACAGAAGCAATCCTGGCGACTTACCTGTCGCCAGATCGCTTCTGCGTCCCGAAGAAGGGGCCGCCCCCCCGCCATATGTTTAATATCTTTCAATCTGCTGTTTTCATTAAAGTAACAGCTGGTGATCTTGCCATGAAGGACCTTGTTCTGGCATTTCCTGTTATTTGGTGAACACTCGGTCCCTGTTTTCTAACCGTGCTCCTGCCTTGTCACCCTGCCATATGGAGTAGAGAACATGCAAATCCTTGTATAACCATGGCTGGCCACAGGTTCACAAAATGCTGTAGGTGTATTAGATATAAAGTGCTAATTTTATTTCAAGTAAAACAAAGTAGATACATTGCAATTACCTGGTTCTGAGAGCCAGAGCCAACTAATATGCATCAACTTTTCTTTACATTTTAACAAGAACTGAGCTAAAACCCCTGTTTCCTCTGGTCAATGCATGCTCAGTATTCCAAAACTGACGGCTGAGGCCCAACAGCTACACATGTAGGTGTGAGCTCAGCTGTGAAGGATGTACAAGGTTCAGAAATGCTCAATTCTACAAATCGCTAAACTAATCAGTAACAATAGGAAAGATTCAAAATTCAGCTATAAATCAAATCCATAATAATGTAATTACATTTAGGAAATCACTAAATCTAACATAAGAAAATAGAATGCATGTTATACTATTTAACCTCTTAAGTGCCAGAATCGTTTTTTCCCTATACCCCTGTGAGGCCCAGATAATTTTTCCCTGTTTTGTTTTTGTTTCGCAATATAACTTTTGCAGGTCACTGCAATGTATTATACATTGTTTTTCACAACTTTCAAGACTAAGCAAATTTTGAAAAATAAATATTCCTTTGTACAATATTTACGCATTCTACGATATATTCACCCCAAAATATAAATCAACAAAGCCGTCTGACTAAAAGGATATTATCTGCTCCCCCCCACCCCCTTTCAATGTTACATTGTTACACACACACAAAAAAAAATTGGTCTGCATAACTTTAAGATAGTCTGCATAAAAACAAAGTAATACTAAAAGACAGCTTCTAAACGGACAGTCTTTAAAGAACTCCAGGCAAACATTTTCTTAACCCTTGCAGTGGGGCTACTCTGCACTGCAAGGGTTAAGTGCTCATTTTGGTGAAAAAAATAACAAAGTAAAAGGTGCCCATACACCTTACGATTATCGGACGATAATCGTATGCGATCGACTTTACGTCCGATAATCGCATGTGTGCATTGCAGTGTCTGACCGATAGTACTGTACAATCGTACGACTTTTGACGGTCAAGCATGTTTGAAAACTTTGCTAGATCGTACGATTGTCGTAAGGTTGCTGGCGTTTCCGTCCGTCAAAAGTCGTACGATGTACACTGCGCTTGCGCTAACGAAAATACGACAAATCAATTACCGCATTTCGTCCAGGTGCTTTTGGTTAATTACGGCTAAATGATTCTTGCGATCATCGGGGCAGGATGGGGCTGCCGTACGAAAATCGTACGACTATTCGATCATCGGACGAAAAGTTTCGTCCGATAATCGTAAGGTGTATGGGCACCTTTATACTCGCCTGATCCTCGGAGGCAGCTGGCCGGTCCTTCTACCTCCCAGAAGTGGTCTAAGGTTCTTGAATCATAAAACCCTATACATGTTTGACGATGCTGAGGGACATACTATCGCTGCAGCGGAGGAGGCTGGCTGAAGGGAGTACCAGCTGGCTCTGAGGTTTGGGTGAGTATAACTGTTATTTTTGCAGCCAGACCAAAACCAGCAGTTAACCCTTGTCGTGCGGGGTTAGCCCCACTGCAAGGGTTAAGAACATTTATGTCTGGAGATGAGATCTTCTAACAGAGGTGGAAGCATTGTGTTCCAATTGCTTTGCTATAGAGCAAACTTAGTGAGTGCTCAACAGCATAGATTCAAGTCCTGGGCTCAGGGCTGGTCTAGTTGTTGCTTTAAAATGACGGTGTGGTGAATAACTGCTAAAGCATAACTGTTTTAAAACAGCACTTGGGATGGTTTAAAAAAGGGATGGCACAGAGGTCTAGCACCTTTAAAGGTGGAAAATATAAACTAGCACAGGATACGTGGTATTAGTAAACATTTTGCATTTTAAATAAGTACATAACCTTAAAAATAAATCAAAATTAGAAATGGAGTGCAAAGTAACCTGAGTTATGTCACAGATGTTATTGCAGGTCTTTCTTGCCCTCTTGTGGCTACTGATAGTATTTCATTATCAAACATTACTTATTAATTTATTATTATAAACTATCAGTATGGGTGGGGTGTATTACCCAGAATGTCGGTAATAAACATTTTAGAAATAAAGAAATTGGAGTTATTTTGAGTAGTAGAGGTAAGCATGTGTTTACAACCCAACTACGGCCCCTATTAGGTTTTGGATAATGGGGGTTTGAGATAGAACCTCAGTCATGTTTGTACTACTGGTGTGTCCCTGATCACATTTCCTTGTACTTTATCCACCTAGACACACAAAGGACGTTACCAGTAAAAGAAAAGGGGAAATCTCTGCAGTGGGAACACAGAGCACTAAAATCTTATATGAGTTCTAAACCTTTTCCACTCCATCAAAACTAAAAACTGGAAAACAAAAAAGCTGGACGTAGCCCTTCAATACATTTTATATGTAGTTCCTCCAATGATTCAAACATCTCATATTGCTAAAATGGAAAACACTAAAGTAACAAACCAAACTGGATTTCTTTTCCTAAGTAAACATCTTACAGGCAATGTAAATCTTTCCCACTCTTTCCAAAAATAAAATAAAATGTTCAGGTGAAATTGGCTTTAATTATTTCTAGAAATGAATCACTATGACACAAGATCTTGAACGGAATGTTTTTAACCACTTGCTGTCCGGATCAATTTCTTACTATTTGCGCACACATGATAAAATATAAAATTTTGGCTAGAAAACAGCTCCAGACTCCAAACAATGATATATTTTCTGATATAATTTCTGAAAGCAGAGGCCATGTAGAATAAAGAGATGCTAGTTGCAGTATTTGCGCAAATGTTTATCAAACCAGTATTTTTAGGATAAAATAAACTAAATAAAATGTAGTGCACAGAAACAGAATATAATACCAAATCTTTTGGTAAAATATAAAAGACGAGGTCACGTCGGGTAAAAAGATACCAAACATGTCAAGCCTTAAAATGCGTTCGCCCCTGAAGTCGCAAAAAACTTCAATACCCAAAACTTTAAAATGCTTTTCACGCTCGTCAGTTTAGTGCTAACCGTTTGCAGCGGTATGTAACATGTGTAGTGCACATGTTTTCACACGTAGGCGCACCGCCGTGTGTTTATGTGCGTGTACGTGGGGGCAGGGGACTAAAAAAAAAAAAAAAACATTTTTGCATTTTTTTATTTTCTTATATGTGACTTCATTTTTTTAAAATTTGTAAACACTTTTTTTTTTTACACTAACCTTATTGCTATTACATAGGGGGCTTTAGCAGATAAGGTGTGACAGGTGCTCTTTATGGAGACATAATATCACCTAGGCACCCCGAAGAAGCTGATGAAGCAGAGATCTGCTTCCCCAGCTTCTTCTCCTGGCTCTAAGAGCCTGAGACTGTAAATCGTGACACCGGATCCAGTGATCGGAGGAGAGATCAGCGGTTGGAAGCCGCTGAATCTCTCTCCGATCGCTGCAGGGAGACCCGCCGCACCACACGGGGACAGCGGTGCCCGGGGAAGCCGATGACGGCCGCGGCATGGGAGGTGGCAGGCGCCGCACGGTACAAATGATCTGGCGGCTGTATAGGCGCCGGACCGCTTGTACATTAATAGCCATCGCTGGGTGTTAAAAACGATACCAAGAACATGACTGCTGCAGCAGCCATGTTCCTGTCTTAACCACTTTTGAGGGCCACCGTCTAGAGACGTATTGCAGCCCGGAAGTGGTTGAGAATCAAGAAGCCAAGCTTAAAACTAACATTTCTATTAGCAGTCTTACCTGGAGTACAAAGGACATCAAAGATAAAACTGGCCAACATAAGAGGGAGGACGGGCCGATAATCACACAAAGTGCCATCCCGTAACTCCTTAGCTCGCTCACGAATTGTGTTCATTTCATTGCAGTCCAATGGAATCTTCTTCAATAGTGACACAATCTCAGACTCCTGATATGCCAACTTTACCTGGAAAGACAAACCACAATTCAATATGCAAACAAACATCCGGATAGATCGAGGCAATACAAAAGATTCCAGCAAAACAGCTAATTATGTTTAATATTAGTAGGTGGTGTTCATTGTTTCTTTAAAATAAACCTGTGCCTATCACCCCCACATGTTCAGGGTGTCATGACCCTTAAAAACGTCCTACGTTTACCTCTATGGCGAGGAGGTTGTCTTCTACCCACTGCTCTATACTTATAATTTTCTCTCTAGAGATTTAACATTATTGCCACACAATTTCACCTAAATATTAGTGCTATTACTTGTTATTATTACTTGTGGTTTATTTCTTTTTCTCATTTGATAAGAACTGCTGTATGTACTTCGCAGGTACAATCTGTTTATTGATACTTGCACCTAGCTTGAACATGTCTGTACTACCTTATGATCATTAAAAAATTGACATGCTAAAAAAAATAAAAAAATAAACCTGTGTCTGATAAAGTATGCTTAAGTATTTATACAAGCAGTAAACTATCTTTACAACAAGTCCTCATTCACCACTGTAGCTACAAGTCATTTTGGAGTTGTAAACTTAATTAAACCTGAGAATGAATTACTTTAAAGTAAAGTACATGCAGCTAGAGAGGTCAGTGAGGACTGGCATAAACGTTCTTTCATTGGTTTAGAATATGCAAATAAAAAACTTTGTATATTCCATCATTTTAGACAAAAGATCTGCCAGAATACAGATCATAAATATGGCTACAGACTATATTAGATGACTGTCAATCAGTAAAAGACAGCCTTCCGGTGGGGCATGTTTGCTGCGTACAGTCACACATTGCTGAGCAGTACATCTATGTTGTAATCTGCAGAACTATTTTGTGTAGACACACACACATACCTACCCATCATCCAATGGTGACAGCTAGCTTTAGATTTGGAGGACCCCCTGAGAATACAGCAAATAGTCATATTTTTACTACTGGAGCTATCCTATTTAAGTGATAATTAGGGGAGTAGAACTATTTGAGTATGGACAGCATTCTCCACGATACTTCTAGGTGTGTTTCCTCCATTAACATCCTTAAAGTGACACTAAACTCAGGAGTTAAATCTTAAAAATACATTCAAGTAGTAGTATTATTATTATTATTATACAGGATTTATATAGCGCCAACAGTTTACACAGTACCTTAACTATTAACAAAAATGCAGCTTAGTTGTGCATCACTCAGCTGTAGATCCTCAAATCACCTCTGAATTCATGCCGACACTGTCCTTTTGTTCTGGGGGATAGCTACGTTTGTTTCCCATGGTCCCTGTGTGTGTTGTGCAGTAGCCACTGCTCCAAGCTCACTCCCGGGATGGACTACAATCTCAACACAAAATTAGCTAACTAAACGTGAGATTGTAGTCCATCACAGGAGGGAGCTTGGAGCAGTGGCTACTGCACAACACACCATGGGGACCAAGGGACAGGTCCCAATGGGACACACACAGGGACCAAAAGTAGCCACTGTCCAGAAGGAAGGACAGAATCAGCAACAATTCAGAGATTATATGAGCCGAGTGATACACAAATAAGATACATTATCGTTAATAGTTAGGCTACTTGAATGTATTTTTAAAATTTAACTCCTGAGTTTAGTGTCATTTAACTGAGATTGTAGGTTGCTAGTTGGATACCAATTTGGTATAGATGCAGAGTCTTTGGTTTAAATACATTGGCAGGCAGTTTAATTACTTTTAGAAATCTGAACTGCCTAAACTGTTGAGGGTGCTAAAATGGACCGTGGACCCTGTAAATGCCCTAAAATGGCACTTTGAAATAGCGGAAATAAGGGGGGAAAAAAGGTAATCATTGCAAACTTGCTAAGAGCTGTCAGACTCACAAGATGAATGCTAAAAAGAAAGTAAGAGCCACTCCTTAGGTTGTGTCCTCTGAATCAGTCTAAATGCAAAGTGTTTACATGCGACTGTATTGGATCTCGAAATATTATAAACGTGTGAAAATCAGCTAAGAGAATAACTAGCTAAATGAAGACCTCCTATAAGCATACTTTCCAATGTTCCCATAAATGTATATATATATATATTTTTTTTTTAAAGCAATGCAAGAACACAGAACATAAACCGGCCAATTCAATAGTAACCAACCTCCTCTATTTGCACTATATTTTACAATGGCTTTGTTTAAAGCCCAAACCTGACTCAACTATTTTGTTTCGTTTGGAAAAATTACGCATGACAATTTTTACATTGGAAGCCACAGATGCAATAGAAATATTAAAGCCTATGTCAGCTTTTTATTGCCATCTGTGTCCCTATTGGAGAGATATCTTCTCACTTCCTGTGTCACCTGATTCATCTCTCTGATGGGGACAACGACAATATGAAAAACACATGTTAGTAAAGATGAAGGATTAGAATTTCTGACAAGGTTTTTTTCTTGCTGCCTGTCCCTTTCCATCCTGGTAACAACTGTTACGCCCGTTCCATTTACAGGCATAACAGGGACAGAGAGTGCTGGATAATTTCCCCAATAGGGTCACAGAAATAAAAACCTGACAGAAATGTTAACTCTTCCCAAATCCATTAATAACTAAATGTACATTTGGTCTGGAGCAAGGCTTTAACCTGCGACTGCAGTTGCAACATATGTGATGCCAAACATCAATTGCATCAGCAAAAGGCAGAGCTAAACCCGGGCCCCCATGATTCAGATTCATGAAAAAGACAAACCTCCAGTGCTTTGGTGGATGCTGGGGGTCTCTGAAGTTCCAGGGCAAACATGCCAATACAGAAAGCCAGGTTGTGTAACTCCTGCCGCTCACTCAGCACAGTCAGAAGAAAAGCAGCTTTTGACAAGGTGTTTGTTGCAATCCAAGTCTGCTTGCTTGTGGAAACTTTATTCTTTTTACCCTGCCAGGAAAAGTAAAATGCATGGTAAGCTCAGAGGAAGAAATGTATAAAATGCTCATTTTAACTTGGTAAACATCAGCACGCGTTCTCAAAATGCATGATTTTGTTTTTCGAAGCTAAAGCAAGTCTGACTTGCTTCATCAGAGTTCGGTCATTGAACTCTTTGCATTGAAATTTTGCAGAGAAAGCCACGGCCCCAGACTTCATAAAACAGTAACAAAGTATGCATTTGTGTGCTATAAATAACCAGCACTTTGGAAAAACACACATTTCTGAAATGGTCCTGTTTTCTACCTGTGCTCTAGTTTTAGAAACAGTCAAATAGAGAGTCCCACCGCACTCCTGACTGAGAAGCCCCATACAATGTGGGGGGGTTGTTGAAGTGGCCGCAGACGGCGCCGCCAAATACTTGGAAAACAGAAAAATGGTCACTATCACTCCAGGTTTTCATCAAAACAAAATCCTTTTATTCATTCTCACAGGTCATATCGCCATGCATGGCAACGTTTCGGAACCTGTCCATCAGGCAAACAAAAGTGATAACTGATCTTTATCACTTTTGTTTGACTGATGAAGGGACCGGACAGGTTCCGAAACGTTGCCACGCACGGTGATATGACCTGTGAGAATGAATAAAAGGATTTAGTTTTGATGAAAATCTGGAGTGCTGGTGACCATTTTTCTGTTTTGCTAGTTTTAGAAACATCACCCAATAGTATTCTGCTGCTCACACAGAAGACAAAGCTATAATGGCGGAGTTCTCAAAGCTAAATAAATCACGGCTATGGTATCCAACATTCCCCACATTATAACGAAAGCCAGAATAACTCCTCAAGTGTACAGTACGATCATCTTTGGCTTCTAAAAATTGGCATAGTTGTATTGGCTGTGAGAGATCTGGCTCCAGAATTTCCTACAAATACAATTCCTGCCCAAATAACTTGAACCCCGCTGTTATTTTGGCACACTTAACACACCTTAAAATGTTATTCAAAAGCTAACAGTCATTTACTGATCTCTAACCTCAAATGAACCCTTAAGCTAAACTCCACAGAAGGATAAAAGCAGCACGAGTTCATGTAGATATGCGTTCAATAAGAAAATGCAACTAGTAGTTCAAGTGAGTGAGTTTGACTTGATATCAGCCTTTTACAATCCCATGTGCAGCCGAGTTCAGACTGGAAGGGGGGAGACCAGCACAAAGAGCCACTTAGTTGTGCTGCAGTGCTTATGTGCTGACAGAAGGGGAGAGCAGAATGAGAGAGATAAGCCATTTAATCTGCCTCTTCTTCTTTGTCAAACTACCGACTAGGGGCTGGGGACAAGGCCTAGTTGTATTTCTTAACTGCCAGACAAAAAAGGCAAGCCCCAATGCTGGTTGTGCCGTCTTAGAAGGACTGTGTAAATCTCAGGAAGAAATACAAATCTTTTGTCATGTAAACAGCTCTCATATATGTATTTCATCTGTTTATTTGCCTGTTTGCATGGTGTTCAGCTTTAAACCTAGCCCTAAGGAAATACTGCATTTCATATCCTCCTAAACTGTTTCAGCAAGGCAGTCCAGTGACAAGAAAAAAATGGCCATCTACACTAGGCCAAAGTCAGAACCAAATCTTTACCCTAAACCTCTAGTACAGTTTTGCGATCATGCCAATAAAGCCAATTAGGGATCATTCACATGGCCAGAAGAGCATTTCGGACCTATTTCTCCGCCCAGTAGATACAGGTACATCATACAGCCGTTGCCAACCAGCCTGTATAAATTCAATGACAGGCTGACAGATGCTATATCTGTAAGCATATAATATATACATTGTATGACACATTGCCCAGAACACAGACACTCTGCATTTGGAGCAGCATATACATCCCTCTATGCAGTTACCACTCAGATGTGCATACTATATGGGCACAGCCGAAGCATCCGTCAGCCTGTCATGTTATTTGTACAGGTTTGCTGGCTGTGGCTATACACTGCACCTATTAAAATATTTGTCCACACACCTTAAAAGCTTCAAAATGTTGTCTTTAGTGACGTTCTTGCAGCATGAAGTGAAATTGCAATTTGCATTCAGAACCACGTAGGGTCTCTATATAAGGCAAAGTGTTACTTTGCCTGACAAAGAGACCTTGTTTGGTTCAAAAGCATCGCAGTTTTACGTCATTCTAGAGGAACATCAATAAAGTCACAATTTTGAAGCTTTAAGGTGTGCAGAAAACAAATATATGGTGTGCAAAGAAGACATTACCATGATTTGTACGCTGGCCCTATGACTCTTGGGTGGCGAAATGTGCCCAATTTTAGGCTGTACGGCCCTCTTGCAGTGGTGTGCATGAGCCCTAACAGGGGAATCAGCGATGATAGTTGTCACACTGAATATGTAATTCTACAAATAAAATGTAATTAAACTTTTGTTGTATTTAGCTCACAAAATTATTAGCACCAAAAAAAACTGCATCCAAATATTCATCGCCAAATCAAAGGACCCATTTGCAGACAGAATTTAGGATAAACTTAGAAAAGTTGTTTCGAGACTAGCATATTGTACAATATAAGTCAGTTTATAAAATGTTTGTAATTGCAGTAAAAAGACTCCCGTCAAAGCTGATCAGATCTCTTATAAGCTGCCACTGTTCATTTTCAGCAAGTGTTACCTATTCATAGTGCAGAAGATGGTCAGGTACCTTTCTACCAATTCACTAACAAAAAGTGGTCAGGGCTCTCTTGTGGGTACCCTACCACCAATCTGTTGTTTTGTACCCCGAGATGCTCCCCTCCATCGTTGCGCGGCTGTGTGTCCCTCAGGGAGGTGGAAACGTAGCCTATACAGGGGAAAGGACCCTTATATGCCTCATTCAGTGATTCTTCTCTATACCAATGACTTGCATGTCTTAGATTTTATGTGGCGGAAGTTCCATTGGGATCTGTATAGCCCTAGGATTGCGAGGCAAGTGTGTTTTTTTTGTTTGGTTTTTGTTTTATGCACCTATGTGTCTTGTAAGGATGTTTCCGTGAAACTTTCTTAATAAAAATTGTTTATAAAAAGTGGGCAGGGCTGATAACATTGCTTGAGATAATACTACAGAGTACGCAGAAGAGCTCCAGATTTATAAAAGGATCAGCAGGTTGTTTTTTTTATTTATTGACCAGATATAATAAAAATGCTTTCAGTGGAATATTTAACAGATCAAAAGAGAGCAAATACAAGAGATGTTCATTGTTAGGGTTTACATATACTTTAGGCCTAGTTGTATTACTGGATGCTTCACTTGGCTTGTGTGTCTGTACCATATGATATTTAATATTCAGAAAGTTGCGTTCTTTACCTTAGTCGGAGGCTGCTCCACCTTCAGGTCAGGTGGGTTAGCCAACAGATCCTGGGCTAGCTCCACTGTAAGACGACAAGCTTCATTACCATATCCATGAGCATACAAGGCTTCAGCACAAGCAAAAAGTACCTGAAAACAAGAGACAATCATGCAATTGATTACTACAATGAACTGACAGGGAATTGCCATGATATTCCAGGGCAAGCTGCTGCTTACACTGATTAGTCTTACCATGGCATAGGATAAATAATCAGCCAACTACTCTGACACATTATGAAGTTGTTTAAGAAAATTATCTTTAGAAATGCATCTAAATTCATAATTCTTAAGGTGCCCATACACTGGCTGAATTTCGTACAGATTTTAATGTACCGGCTGAAATTCGGCCAGTGTATGGGGCTGTCGGCTCCCTTTCAGCTGATCGTAGGAGCCGGCTGGAAAATCTCCATACGATCAGTGCCAGCAGCCAAAGAGCTGCCCCGCTCTGATCGGGTATTCTGACAGATGGTGGTGGAACCTGTCGGAATACAATGCACGCAGCGACTATTTCTTGATCAACACACTGTTTGTGTTGATGGAGGAATCGCATCACATTCTTTCGTTCAGCCCACAGATTGAACAAAAGAAATTGACAGGTGTATGGGCAGCTTGAGGCTGGCCTTGCACAATCTGATGCTGCTCTGATTCAAACATTGACTACGTCCATACAGACCTTTTTCATCATGCTCATCAAATGCCTGTAAGACAATTCTTACTTTTTGCAAGGAGGGTAGGAAGGGAGAGTATTAAACACATGTGCATGGCTTCTGCTCATAAGCAGAGTTGCAATGTACAATCAGACAGGTAGATGTCTCACCACCCATCTTTCTAGTGAAACTACAACCCATATACAGGTACCCTAGGTCTTTTTATGGGCAACGGTTACATAGTGTATTGCCTAAAATGAACCTGACCTTGCTAAAATGCTCGAATATACAGGTGCTACCCAGGTTAATGTTCAAATCAAACCCTGTGGATCTCCCCTGTATCCTAGACCCAGGTTGTAAAAGGGCCCTTGACTTTTGCCATTGTTTAGATGATTTCCCCATCCCCTCGGAGCGTTAAGCCTTGCCTACTATAATTCACTTGTCAAATAGCAGTGTTTCAGAGGGCAGTATAGGCTCTGGCATTTCAAATGTATGATGGGGGAAGAGCTTGGCACCATGGAGCTTAAAGCCCAACTTTAAAAAGCTCAGCATCAGAAGCCTAAAAACCTACAATGTTGTTTTTTCTTTTGCTTTGGATAGAGAGAAAATGTTAAAATGTGTCTGTCCAGGACTCGACTTATCCATTATTAAACTAAAAAGGTAAAATGCTTTATAAATCAGATCTTGGTAAATTAATGAATCAATACTACATTAAAGGATTACCTCCATTCTATTCTCCTGGTCAAGAGGCTTTATTCCTGCAAATATATCTTGCTCTTCTTCTGTCCCCTCATCTACCTTCTCATCTTCATTCTTAGCTGCCTCTTGAGGGTTTACATAGTAAGCCTGATAGTCATCTTCTTCCTCACCCTTTTCACGGTTCTCACTTTCTTCTGTGCCTTTGCTTTCCCCTTGAACACCAGCCACCTCTGCATTTTGTGCCACCTCTTTTGGTTTGAGGCTTTTACCTTCCACATCATCTGCAACAATCAGGTCCTCCTCTCCACTGCAAGCAGAAACTGAAGCTTCTGCTATCAGATCACCTTCAGCCTTAGGCATTGCTTGATTGGTAGTGACTGAAGGCTCCAGGTTCTCCGCATAATATACACCTCCTTCATCCTCAAAGTTGTCTCGATACCTCCTACTTAGAGGGGATTCTATGAAGCTAAAGGTATTGCTGGCTTCAGCTCCAAGCGCCATGCTGCTATCATCAAGACTCATTTCAGCCATGTCTGGCTCCAATGAACTGTCTTCACTGCTCATTCGACGCTTGCCGCTGTGCTTATTGGCCATACACTTACTTGCTGGCATCTTTGTTTTGTTAACGGTGGACTTGTATATGTTCTTCTCTCCCCCTTCTGCAGAAAGCCGTCTTAAAACTCTTTGAGGTACTTCAGAAGCCACTTTCCTCTTTGCCACAAGCTCCTTTGGGCGTACCGACATTTCCTGAGAAGAGGGACGTGATCTGTCTCCAAAAAGCAGGCAACTCTCATGCCCTTGCGCCCGACCACCTTCACACACAGCCTCTGTGCACTGAAGTCGGCAGCTTCTCTGTTGAAAGGCTTTAACCCAGGAGAAAGAGTTCTTTTTGTCAGTGCTGCAGTAAGTGATTCCGGGGATGGGGTATGCTTGTTCCCAATTGAAATAACATGCCTCCACTGCCGGTTTGAAGCCCTGGAAGAGTTTATCCAAGGACTTTTTGTGTTGACCCCTCTTAACATTTTCAATCACTTTTAGCTGCCACTGACGTAGCTGGGCGCAAAGATCTCTCCGTCTACAGAGCAAATGAACAACAAAGTATGACGTAAAACTGTGATAATGTTCAATACAGAGACAACATCACTATAAAGGTGAAACAAGTCATACTAAAAAGTGTATCTATACACAGGAGCAAATATTTAATAAATTGCATCTTACCAGTCCTTGAGTGTGCATGTAGTATTAGTTTTCTTTTTTCAAGCTTTTATACTTATGGTGATCCGAACAGCAACACAGTTCCTGTCCTAGGGTGACAACACTCATTTAACCTACTGTATTTAGGGAGGAGCAGTATTTCCACCATAGGACAGGAAGCGTGTTAGGACTAAAAAAAACACCTCCCGGTATTCTCAATTACAATAAATAGGGAAGCGTGTCCTGTAGTTTAGAGAGAAGTCGGGCAGGCCTGATAATAATGCCTGAGCAGCACTGATAGCTCAACAAAGTTAGAGGTTCACTGGATTTTCGGCAGGAACAGCTGGTATTTTTTTGTAACCGATATAACAAAATGCTTTTAAGAGTATATTTAAAAGACCAAAATAAATATGAAAATATGAGAAGTTCATTGTTAGGGTTTACATACACTTTATGTATTTCACATTGTTTAGCTCTTTCACAATCAAAATCAAAATATATGGTTTAAAAAGACACAAAAGACGGGAGAAAATGAAAACACCCTGTCCCTACTACTAAGCCTTCACAAAATAATAGAAACATTACCTGCACTAGTAAAAGTCTGCAAATAACAGCTATTTATAGTAACTATGCATGTGGCATGTCTGATAATCTCATGACGGAGCACAAAAACTGAATGACTGAGGTGCTGCTTCCAGAAAATATCTGTTTAATGGCATGTACCAAAGCAAGAGGCTGTCACACATTGACAGCATTGAATCAAATCGATATGATAGAAGCACAAGAGCGCAATGACCATGCAAATACATTGTTGTAGAGACTGCTGTCTCTATATCAGAAACCAAGGAAGGACTTACTTGTGGATCCTGGGGATAAGACGAGGAGTGGCCCTGGTGGAAGATCACAATGGCCTGTGCGGTCCTCCTCACTGTGGATGTGTGGACATGCTTCTTTGTCGAGCTTGAGAAAGAGGGCTTCCTTGAAACGCGTTGTTCTTTTGTTTCCCCAAACCTTCAACAACCATATAATTTCTTTCTGGCCGCCTACCGGCCAGACATTACTGCCTCCTACACCACTGTCACATGGTTCGGATGCCACCCACTCCACACATCCACAGTGAGGAGGACCGCACAGACCATTGTGATCTTCCACCAGGGCCACTCCTCGTCTTATCCCCAGGATCCACAAGTAAGTCCTTCTTTGATTTCTGATATAGAGACAGGCAGTCTCTACAACAATGTATTTGTATGGTCGTTGCGCTCTTGTGCTTCCATCGTAGTTTTCACAGGCATTCTCCTCCTGGTTCTTAGAGCAGCATACCGCACATCCTACACACCACACTTAGCATCGTTCTGAGAGCGATGTTTATTGTTTTTTGATCAAATCAATATGCAGTTTGAAGCTGTGTTTGCACCTTGAGCTAAAATGAGATTCAGAGAGTACTAGAGAAAGAGATAGGCAGACAGACAAACCGAAAAGACAGACAGACAGACAGAAGCTTGGGAGGAAACTAAACCCAATACATTACACTAAATTCATTTTGGAAATATACATTTCAACATGCAAATTAGGACTTGCTTACCTTTGAGGACTGATGGTAGGATCTAGAACGGCCAGCCTCCAGAGGACAACCATTTCATCACACATACTAGCACATGCATGAGCGGCAACTTCTGACTGGCCATTACTGCGACCAGTATGGCCACTTGCACTGCTGTGAGAGGCTGAAGTACGCACATTGTACCACCACCCTGTAATCTACAAAGGAAACAAGAATTAAAATAGTGTACTTATAAAACAAGCTCACAATTATAAAATAGCGTTTTTGTACATACTGTATTTACGCATTGAATCAGAAAGCCTATTAAAAACATTTCACATTTAGCCTTTTGTAGGCAGCACATGGCCGATGCAAAGCTAGTACTCCAGGGCTTCAGATACCATGCATGAATAACAGGATGTCAGTATATGCAGATATACAGCTGAAGCAGTTGGAGCAGGGACACAATCCTCTGTAGGAGCAAGCACAAGTGCAGAGCTTGGGCTTTCTTATTACAAATTCCAGCATCTAAAACAGAACTTCAGCTAGAGTGGTAAAGCAGGCACACTTCCTGCCTGTGGGAGGTGTCTGCAGAAAATCTTCCACAAGGGATACCTGTTTCAGTGTTAACTGTCTAATGCTGACAACACAATGCTCTAATTTCAGCCAAGTGCTGCTGACCCTCAGTGTGCCACACACTGCTCGACTTTTGTCAAAAGAGCCGGTCCATCCACCGCTGTCAGAGTAAAACAGCCTGGCGAAGGAGGGACAATGGAGCGTTTTTTTGTGTATGGCCAATTTACATTCTGGGAAAAACTACTGACCCTTTTTCACGCAAGAGGCCAGACCCTGAATAACATTTCTAAACTGGCACTATTCTATATTTCTGGATCCTCCTTCATTTTCCCCGTCAGTCACCTAAATGATTACTCCATACCATAGGCATAATCAAACGGTCCCTACTAAAACCGAGTGGGCATGTATAATAAAAAAAGTAAGTGTAGCTGATCACTGAAAACCTATGAATGCTGAATAAATTAATTTGCATGTCAATCTCCTGGACTGGCCTGTTCCTAGCAGCCAACAAACATCCTGGAAGCCTTTTAGTTATCAAAGAGCAAATGTTTTCTAACTTAGCAAGGGACTTATCTCCCTTCCCTGTTCACCCAAATGCTTTGTCTCTTTTTCACTTCTGTCTTCCTATTGTCTGATCTTATACCAACTTCCTATCCTTTCTCCTTTATAAAAATATTTTACCATGGGAAGAGACTTAAATCAAATACCGTCACTTCAGGGGGAAAAGGTGTAATGTATTATCATAACAACTGTTTGAAGGGCATTAAGGCGGCACTTTCAATTTAAACTTTCCCAGTGCCGCACACCAGAACACACAGACAGACGTGGTGCACTAAAATGTATGCGCATGGTGGGACGTACCATTTAAAATGAAGAGCACTGCAAGATCTGTACATAGTTCAATGCTTTACCATACAATAGCTTGTAAAGAGTCAACCAAACATGAACTCAGGTGCATGAAGCTTGCATTTGAAATGTATTTGAGATGCTTCTGATTGCCTTCTAAGCTGCTTCTGCATTTCCATTGGCCTGAATAGGGAGAAAAGTAATTCTGACACATACACATGCCGTTTGTGATGCTTTCTAGCACATGAGCCATACCTGCTCATAAGTGAGACACTGATCTGTAAGGATCTCAAGTAAAGGGGCAGCATTGGTGTCCCGTCTCTTGAACATCTCCCGAACAATTGACAAAAGGTTCCAGATACCTTCAGGCTCCCGTCCTCGTAAAGGGCGCAAGAGACAAGCCCATTCTGCTGCAGCTGGGGGCTCAGTAGATGAGAGGTACATGGAGTTGACATCGCTGTTGAGGGCAACAAAGTAAACATTCTATTTGAAAAGACCACTGAAACAGTCCCTGTTTTACAAACTGTGTTAGCAGATGATAGTTTTAACATAATAGAAAGGTGTTATCCATTCATAGGTTGCTGAAATAAGTAGCTCACATATAAATATGCAATGTATTTTTTTTTTATCTGGCTAGTGTGTATAATTAATATTGTGATGCTTGCTGAATATTTCTGAAAATACCTGAAAACAACAGGAGAAGGGCCACAGAACTTATGAAGTGTCTTCTTGATGTTATCACTCAAAGTGGATTCATCCAGGTACCAGGTGCTCTGGTCAGATGCAGAGGGTCCGGCAGTGGGGTCTGGAATACAGAGTCGGTTTTCAAGTTAGTAAGCCACATTTAAATGAATGTGAATACTCAGTCCTCTATTCTTGTCTGGCCTATATCATTGTGCCATGGAATCACAATTCTAGAATTCCCCCCTTGCCGGTTACTGTTCAGTATATATTCAGTCCCCCCTGTTTTACACTATTACTTTTGGCTGTGCTGCAAGACTTAGAAATTACTTCTTGGCAATAATGGATGACAGAAGAAAACAGCAACACACACAGTTTCCACACAGATATACAAGAATTCCATATTGCTGAGGATACCTGGTGCACCACACACTGTATTAATGGCAGTTGATTGAGAAGAGAGCAGTTCATCCAGAAGACGTTGAGCAGTGGGGAGGATCTAAGTAAAAAGAAAATCAAACAAGCGACAAATTACTAAGGGCCTGTGCCAATGCATGCCAATGGGCTTGTGTTGTTTCAAGAGGGTTTTTTCATTTCCATCCAAATTTATAAGAATACAAAACTTGCTTAAAGCAGGTCAAATGCACTTGTCAATGAATTGTGAATGGTCTCAGAAGTATCCTAAATTGAGGTCATCGATAATACGAAATCACCTGCACTCCATACAGCGTACAGACCTTGAGTAAGAGGTTGGTGCTTGAAGTGACAACACGGATGGCGCAGTGTCAGAGGCAGTCCATAATAGAAGTCACCAGCACTCGATGATATATGCAAGAAGTAAAGCACTTTTTATTCGATTGTCACATGCGTCAAACAGCCAACGTTTAGGGGCCACGCAGGGTCCCTTCTTCTGGGCGACAAAATGGCACCAGGTCGCCCAGAAGTGCTTTACTTCTTGCACATATCATCGAGTGCTGGTGACTTCTATTATGGACTAAATTGAGGTCAAACTGATGCTATTGATGCAAGCCCAAAACCTATCCACACAGGCCTTTCAAGTGTATTTCCACTTTTGCAGCCACAATTGACAACTATCTTTGTTATGTGTTCCTAATTACACAGCATATCCAAAAATATTTTTGACAAAAATAGTTCTTACCTTTGAGACTGTTGGAGTTGCGGGACTTTGCAAATTTCTCAGTTTCAGTAACAGGAAACTCTGACTGTCCTAATAGAAAGACTTAGGACAGACTGAGCCCCCCTCATTAACATACGTTTTCAGGTCTTTAACCCCTTGTTAGGACAGACAGTCCTGCACATCTAATTTATAAGTAATGATGAAATCTGCCAGCACAGTACAGACAGAGATACAATTATTTGGAAAAAAAAAACTCCGCAGTGAGAGCTTTTTCAGTCCTGGAATTAGCAGGAAGAGCATTAAAAAAAAGGGTACGCTGCACATTTTAAATATTTTTTTAAAGTTATCCTATGTGAATCAGAACATGTAACAAATATAAAGTAGTTGTTATCCCAATTTGGCTGCAAAAGTGCAAATACATTTCAAAACAGTTGCCTAATACTGAATGGAAAGAAACTAAACATACCCAAGCATAGATATACATGTCACATGTGCACAAAACTGTATACTCACTTGTTGTGGCAGTTCACTGATAAGATACTGGGCAAACTTTTGCAGCTGATCCCTCTGCAGACGTGATAAGGATTCTGAAACTGGGGCTCGTAAACAGACTGCTGATGCCTGTGGGGAGTAGAATTACACAGATACTTCAGATCATTTATGAAGCTATAAAAAAAACATTAAAAAACCTGACTTATTTAAGATAAATTGTGAGGCATATACAAGATGTACAAGTGTCCTCTTATGAACTTAACATACTAAACCAAAAGAAAACAAAACCCCCAAAACGTCAAATAAATACATTTATAAACAGGAATCCTTGGATTAAAAGAGAACTAAAGCCAAACCTTTTTTCTGGCATTAGTCCTCTTTTGGGTCACAGGAGGACATTTACTAATGTCCTCCTGTGACCCACAGTCAGCATCTAGTAGACTACTAGCTGCCATTTGCTGACAGTGCAGAGCCACGGTGCAGCTGGGGAACATCCCAACAATGTGGTCAGGATACAACCCGTTGCCTGATTGACAGCTGGCTCTGTCTCTCTGCCTGGCTGTGCCCTGTCCCTCAATGAGCTGAGTGATCAGTGGTTCATGATTGCTCAGCTCTTGATCTTTATATACGGGTCTAAGTATTGGGAAGAGTACATTTTACTCTCCCAATGTTTCTGCTTTAATTATATTAGAATTGCAAAAATGCTTTATGCACAAAATAAAATGTTCAATTCTGAAAGGTTTGGGATGAAAAGGTATGGGTCCTCTTTAATACAAACCAACAGAACTAACCTGTTTAGTTATTATTTGGAACGGGTTATTTTTATAGATAGCTAACCTTTCATTGTCATAGGCCTACATGCTGGCAATTCCTAATACCACTTATATTCTTCCTCATTCAAACTTACTGTCACAGAAAAATATTGCTCAGTCTACCTTGTCTATGCACATAGCGGAAATGCGATATTTGAAAGCCTTCTGTAGTTTACCAGTTTAATTCTATAGTCTCTCTCTATACCAAAACTCCTTGCTTGGGTACAGATGTGACATACTTGTGACTGAATCAGAGATGGCTACATTAGTATAATCACAGCATGTATGGATACATGTATTGCATTTCAATGGTACTGGAGGGACAAGGTGCACATATTCCAATCCCTTTCAAACTGTACAAAGTGGTGAAAGTTGTATTCAAGCCTCCCCCTTACTACAAGTTACGAACATTGTGAATCCGAAAGAGGCAGAGGGCAACAACGTGGGAACACCACTTGGCTCCAGCTCCACAGGTACAACTGCATGATGTAATTCGGCACCGGTCAAACATCACGGCTACATTGTAGGCCCCTTTTGGAGGCAGCATTTGAGGTGGTACTACCGTAGCACTCAAGTGGAAACCTGCAAAGAGTAGAAATACTTACAATTGTATGGTAGATGTATTATATAAAACAAAACGTTAAGCCCCACAAGCTAAATATTAATAGCCCAAATCCAGCCCCTGATTTGGCAACACCAAGTCTAATTGTCTTCTTTGTTATGCACAATTTGTGAGAAACTGAGCTCCTCCGTCCTTCGTCTTATCGGCCAAGTCACAAGAGACATGTACTGGCATAAAAGGGGAACATTTGCAGATCTGTCCACACTGATTATCTAAATAATGGCACTTAATCAAGATTGTGTTGGAGACACAGTTGCCGTAAGTTTTAAATGACCTGGGCATTAAACACATACAAATGCACGCAGCATTAAATCATACATCACTAGGGATGGAGCATGATGAGTCTCCTCCACCAAAGTCTGACAGGTCTACAGAGATGCTGAGAACGTGATAAATGCACCACACCAATCATCATAGAGAGTCTGTGGGGTTGTTTTAATTAGTTCATATCAGGGTAGAATACAACCAAGGTGTTTCAAGGGCTCTGACACTTCCCCTTCATCAGGACTTTAGACCAGTATGGACTTTGAATGGCTGGACTCTATGAGGAAACAGTAAACAGATGTTGTAACTGACATTTGTCAGATGCTGTATCACTGTAGCCATCATGAAATACAAAAAAGTCTAATAAGATATCCAGCAATGTTGTCAATTCAACAGCAATGTAAAATTTGCTTTTTTTTTTATTGCATCAACTGGTAGGACCTCAAAAAGCACAGAATAAATTAGCTTTATGTTTATAATTAAATTGAAGGCAAGCAGACTACCCAACCTGACTGTCTTTGTGTTTTTTTTGCTTTGAAACCTGGTGTCAAATTCTCACATACAGTTATGTGAAACAGTAACTACACCCCAGGGAAATCATTGACTTTAACATATTTAAATGAAGATCTAATGTTTGCCGGTTCAAACAGTGCCTACAGATGAGATGATAAAAATTGAACAAATGACACATAAATTTGACATGGCCTATTTATTCTCATAATCTAAATTAATGAAAATACAGTTAATGTGACAAAAAGTAAGTACACCCCCAACATTTACCAGCCCTTCATATTTACAAAATTAGAAAATGGGTGTTAGGTGTCAATGACTAGACTCTCTGTGTGGAGTAGGCAGGTGGAAACCTGTCTTAGTTAAACCTCATATACATAGGGGTCTGGTGTTCTCTTTGCTCTTGATGTGTGTTGGTGTCATCATGCCAATAACAAAAGTGCTCTCTAAGGCATGAAGTAAAGAATGTTGTGGAGGTCTATAAGAGTCTAACAAAGGATTAAACAAGATCACCAAATTATTTGTAATCAAACATTCCCCTGTATGGAAAATAATCTACAACTGCTAAAAATTGTCCAGAACTGGCCAACTCAGCAAGTTCAGCCCAAGATCTGACTGTTTGATACTAAATAACAAAAAAAGTCTCCAAGAAGTCTAAAATGTCTTTGCAACATCTGCAGGTAACTCTTGGGACAGTTGGTCTCAAAGTGCATGCATCTACAATCAGAAAAAGGTTGCACCAATTGAATTCACATGGGAGGTTTGCCAGGAAGAAGCCATTGCTGTCCAAAAGAAAACATTAGAATAAGATTACAGTTTGCCATTGAGCATTTAGGCAAAAACTCAAAAAGAAGAAAAGAGTCATGGACTGGCCTAGTCAAAGCCCTGATACAAATCCCTTTGAAATGTTGGGGGGGAGGCGGGGGGGATTTGAAAAGGGCAGTTCATGCAAGGAAACCCAAGCCAAAATTTCACCAAGTCCATGCCAGTGACTGGAGGGTAGTTATGCAAAATGCCTACAGCTTCTGAGGCCAAGGGGGCACTTACTTACCACAATACATTACATCTACTGATATTGTTGCTGAATGAATGACTGAAAAGGCTCATTCTAATTGTGTATCACCTTAATCTGGAGGCACTGTTTGAATGAATATCTAATATTTGTCTGGCTCAAATGACTATTAAAGAGCACAGATTACTTGACAAATGTGTTTATGTTACGTATTTTCCATATCGTTTCTGTGATACGTATCCACAGACTTCATCATTTGTATGACTTAAAATAGCAAGCGAGGAGCTATGACTCATCTTTGGCCTTTCCACACATACTCCCGGTGCAGAAGGTTATTTTTACGAAGCGGACAGCGACTATAAAAGAATACCCATGCACTACAAAACAGTCTAAAGCAAACGCAGATTTAAATGACTAAAGAAGACTTGTTATTTAACGAACCACACCACTTAATTAGAAAGAAGCTGTCACTTTGCCCTTTCATGGTGATAGTCCTACCTCCCATTCATACTCCCCCATCACCCCACTCCTTCAGATCTCTCAATTCGTTGCTCTAACAGAGCAGGTCTTTCAAGAAAGGGGAGAATATGTGACCTTACCCATGCGACAGGGTTTGGGCTAAAGCAGCCAATCACCAGGCCTGAACAATGTCATGTGTGGTGGGCAGTGACATCATCCACTCAGGTAAGCTCTATTATCATCCAACACCAGAGCTTACTCAGGGTTGACTCCTGCAGCGGTAAGAAGTATGGCAGTCTTAGTATACTTTGCTAGAGTGGGGGGTGACCTATCAGGAGACACTGTCACTGTTCCCTGAATGGGCAGGTGGAGAACTCTGCCTCGGTTTCAGAATCTTTTAAAATAGCATCCATAGTAAGACTGAGATCAGCCGCCAGTTCAATGCCATTATGAAACTGAAAACCATAGGCATCTTTTTAAACTATCAGTAAGGATAAACTCCTATTTACCAATCTGTAGAGGATCCTTGACAGCTCTCATGCGAAATAGCTGCTCTCCCCTCTGGAACTCATCAGCGCTTCCATTTGCCAAGCAGGAGTAAAGCCTGTAGAAATGTGAAGGAAAAAACAATCTAGAACTTTCCTCAAAAAGTTATACTGCAAGCTTCAGCCTCTACCTTTACCCATTATCCTACATATGTCCAGCACTTGTTATGATTATGCTGCAATGACCTTATGGATCTCACTAAGGATCATAGAGTAGGGAAATGAAACATATAAATACTGTTACTTGTTGACAAATAGATGCATCAAAAAAACCTAAACAAAACTTATACATTCATCCTTTTCCAGTGGTAAAAGAAGACAAGAATGACAGTCTGAAAGAACTGGGGTATAGTTTGGATATGGTGTAAATGTTTGACCATTTCCAATGTTAAATTCCAGAAGAACATCTCTGTCTAGCAGAATATTTTCTAATCATACCCAGCATCAATTGAACAGGTAGAGAACTGGCTTCATTAGACCCTTCTAGTACAGCAGAAGAAGACACGATCATGGCTAATACAAGTGATCTGGGTGGCTATACAGCCTCGAAGGCCGGTGTATCCGCTGTCGCCCAGCCACAACCCAGCACAGGTTGACGATAGTGGTCTGGACAGAACCGCCACTGAGTCCACACATACAGCAGTGACGTGTTTTACTGCATCAGATCAATGTACGTCACCACTAGGACACACAGAAAACAACTGTTGTGCCCTGTTCCTGCTACAATGCGGGTGTAATGGGCGGTTCACTGTGCTGCAGAAAAATGCAGCATGCCACCAGAGGTCACTGCACAGCGGCGCAGCACACCACACCACGCTGCTGTGCAGTGACCTGAACGGAGTGTACGCATTGTACACTACTAAGAAGGTTAAAACAAAAAAAAGAAAGAAAGAAAAAATGTGAACAGTGTCAGCTTCGGCAGTGTGAAATACAACGCATACTGCTGGTGCTGTCGCAATATACGCAGCGTTTTAGTGGGCGGGGTATAGTAAACCAGCCCTTTGGGATTTCAGACCAGCTTAAAGTGACATTAAAGGATAACCCCCCCCAATGTTAGTGTAGTGTAGTGTTAGTGTACTTACCTTAAATCATGCCTCTTAATCCGATCACCTTCTTCTTTAGTGTAGTTTTCAGATGTCCCTCCAGCGTTGGTGCGGGTCTCCGATCCAGCGCCGACTCCTCTGTCCTCCTCTTCTCTGATGTCCCAGGGAGCCTGTGCGGGTGCATGCTGCTCCATAAACTTACCGTGCGTCTCTCCTCGTCTCCCGGCCGAACATCTGAACTGCGCATGCACCCGTCCCAAGATCCTTTCCGGCCGCCCGAGACTCCTCAGATGTTCGGACGGGAGCGTGCGGCGCAGACACAGGTAAGTTTAAACCTGTTTGAAAAGGTTTTTTGTTTTTTTAAAGTTTTTGCTTATATCTACTGCTTGCTAGCAGAAGATATATGCAAAAATTGCTGAGGTTTTAACCCTTTCGCTGCCAAGGACGTATGGCATATGGACCTACAAAAGTGCTTCCAGCTGGCCAGCTCCGACCTGGCATTTACAGTTCTACTATAAGCTGATGGTCGCTTTAGCGACCATCAGCTTATAGTAGAACTGTTCAGCAGACTGTCCCCTTTAAATTAATAGCTGTCATCAGCGGCTCACAAGCCGCTGATGACTGCTATTATCAAAAATACCATGGATGGGATGGGATGAGAGACTCCATGGATCCCCGCTGCTTGTAGGGTC